CAATAACAATGTAGGTGAAAGTGAGGTAGTAATCGTGTTCTAGTTCTAGGATTTTTACCTTTAGCGCTCAGGATGTAAACAAATAATGAAAAGTAACCAAATAAGTACATTACCTTTTATTAGGGAATCCAAAGCCCTTGAGTATTACACATAAATTTCTTGGAATTTAAAATTATATTTTATTAAAAACTGGAAAGAACATGGTATATTATAATTAGGTACATTTTAACATAATATGTACAAAAAATTAAGGTAGGTACCCAAAGATTTTTGTTGATGCTTAAGTTGCCCACTTTCATTATCACTTTCCGTCTTAACTGTAAAAAAAGAGGCCATACTTCATCAATTTACATCTACTCTCGCGGACGCTGTTTCAATAATTATTTCGGTGTGTTGCCGGGACGTCGACAGATGGCGGCGAAAGGGGCAAGATGTCCCGTGTCCCCACGGCCGGAGGGCCTCGTACTACAACATCGTTGTACTTCCGATACCGATGATTGATATCTAGTTGTCTAACTGTCTAAGGTGAAACTATGACAGGGGTTGTATAATTTAAAAATGTGCATTAAATATACAGGGTGAACATTTTGTCTGGAACGCCGAGCAGCTCTTTATGGTATCCAAAATTCTAAAAAGTTTGCTACTGATCTACGTATGTACCTACATACCACCGTAAGTCGGACGTGCGGTGGTATTTACACCTCGACAGTGCTATCAGCAGCACCTCGCGCAAAACCGCCTTTCGGTAGCACTCATGAAGCGCTTGGTATGGTTAAGGCGGGAATACTGTAGCAAGATTTCTCGCGCTCTCATAAATAAGTCTGATACCACTATCGAGTTGTACCGAGGCGCGTGGCCAGTGGTGATCATCGGTTGTGGGTTCGAATCCCGCTGCCGACTGTTCTATCTGGGGTTTTCCTCAGAATTCGCATAATGATAGCAGTATCATTCAATGGCATTATGTTGAAATCTACGAGGCGAATGCTGGAGCAATACTCTCCCCCTCAGCACCTTAACTCCGTCCCTTCTGTTCCCATCCTTATAACTTTACCTATCCTTACATTCCCGTTCTCTGGCTGAAGAGGCTCTGGCAAGCCTGAGCAGCCCGCCTCCGGCGTCCCTGTCGCATTGTTTAAATACTTTATTACAATGCCTGTAGTCAGAGATGTCGGAGGAATGAAACACTATGACGTCGTAATCGAGTTGTACATGCCACTATAATTCGGTTGTACGGTGAGACTTACACCTCGGAAGGTCACTAGAAAGGCTTAATTTGAACGGATGCGACGAAATTAAAAAGAAATGTACGTTTATCCTGATATGGGTTTGATGCTAATTCGTAACTTTTCCTTAAAGGCCCTTTCAAAATTACATGTGTGGTTTTACTTTGAGTGAAGGATTTTACTAAAATTTATAATGACATTGTGCAAATTACTCTACACAGGGCAATCTATGTGCCGACAGTGCAATACGAACGTAACAACTGTTCACTTTATAGCAGATGACTGCGAATAATTCAACTTTGCAGTTTTCATTTTTAGTTAGTGGCTAGTTTGGTAAAATAACCCGCAGAGGTCGGTTGCGACACTTTCAACTAATCTTGCGAGCAAAGAATGCTACGGTTTGCCTGGAGCTACATATTTCAGCTGTGAAAGTGTGAATGCATTGATTTTCGCCGGGCTAGCTATTGCTCTTATACGTACAGCTAGCATGGAATAAGAATTATAAGAAGTACAACGCTTATGGATTTTTACCACATTTCCATAAAAATAAAAGTAAATGCATTATTGTGGCCACTTTTTCCGCTTGTCTGTCCGTCCATAAGCTCCCTTCGGCCGTTCGGTCGCTACTAGGTCTTTATATTACGAGCTATGGTTCTTCTGTTTTCGCTTTGTTCGTTATGGTATCGAGCGTGACTTTAGTGGTGCCAAAAAATTTTTGAAAATGGAGGGGGGGGAGTGAATACACGTTCTACCCTTCATGGTATTCTAATGAAAGATCTCACCGAAATGAATTGGTTTGCACAAACTGCAACTTTCCAGCGCGACTCCTTTTCTAGATAAGTAGGGATATTGACATCAACTTCCTTATTTTAAATGGACACCATATTGGATTTTTACGTCACTCGATAGAGAAAAAAATTATAAAACCAGTGATACTGAACACTTAGTATTTCATTTGAGAATCAAACTTGCATTTTTGCCTCGTACTTTACAATGTATTTCTAATGGAACTAATTCCATGGCTGATTATATGATTGAAACCAAATTGGTTCGTTTATTGTCTCGCATAGTCACGATCGACACGGCCATGGAATTATTGCCATAAGAAATACATTGCAAACTTCGAGGCAAAAATGTAAGGTTGATTTCCAAATGAAATGCTAAGTGTTTAGTATCACTGGTTTTGTAATTTTTTTCTGTATCGAGTCACGTAAAAATCCAATATGGCATCCATTTAAAATAAGGAAGTTGATGTCAATATCTCGAACACCGATATTAAAAAAATTTTTTTCGACGTTCATTGAATTTATCCTTATCCCATCCAATCTTGCAACTTTTATTTGAAACTTTTCGATAGCTCTCTTTGTTTGTCTTTGTTGCTAAAATATTTGAACTTTTTGAAAATGTCGATTTTCACTTTTTTTTTTAATTATCTACGAAACAATTTATTTTTCAAAATAGGTATCGCATCGCCTGCGTGACAAAATGAAATTGCCGTCCCTTTTTCCAACTTTATAGAATAAACAAGTTCACTAATAATGCTTTATTTTATGCTATAATTTAAAAAGTAGGTAATGCACTAAATAAACATTTCATTTCATTCACAAAAAAGATAGATATTAAGTATGATACGCAAAAACAAAAAAAGCACAAAACTAAAATTTCGCTTTCTTTGCTTTAACACTTAACTTGAACCACTTCCTTTAAACTAATTTTGTTCTATTGCTATGATGCAAGATTTGTTAACCGTTCTTGTGTCATTGACGATCGCAAATAATTTTATAATTTTCAATCTCTAAAAGGACCATTATCCTGTAGCCACCGAATTTTAATAAAGAAAATAAAACGAACGTACGAAGTATCTTGGGTATAATCATATACAGAGTGGCTAATACATAATATAATAATAATAATAACTTTATTTTCTGCGATCAAGTACCTTGACATAGACATCGACAATAAAGATGGAACCAAGGCGCTGGTGTGAAAACGGTTAGATATCGGGTTTTAGGACTTAAATAAGATGTGTTTGTCAAAAAACTATACGGGACAAAAATTTTCTTTCCATGCTAGAATATGCACAAACACATCTTATTTACGTCCTAAAACTTTAAAACCGATATATATGCAACCCTTTTCACACCAGCGCTTTGGTTCCATCATTATTAGCCACTCTGTATAATCAGTGGTATATTGTATATACTTGCAGATGTGTTCCACACTGACTCCCTGTACTGCGCAAACGCAAGCGCGCGCTAAAATTTGAATTTGTGTACAGCTGTCAAGTGTAAGGGGTGAATAATATACACATAACCGGCAAACGTTATAATTGAAGATAATTTAGCTTACCTGCTTACCTATTATATGTAGTAGGTATATGAAAATGCCATGTTATCAAGATGAATTTTGTTGTTATCTACATTTGGAGTGCATGGTCATAGAATATGCCAAAGGCGATATTAGGAAACTGCTTCGGTAAGTACTGTAATAGTTAATTGGAAAGAGTTAATGACATTTACTTACAGCAATAATGTTACAGACCAACATTGACCTATGGTAAAGAGAGAGTCCGGTGCTGAACGAATCTCAAAAAAACCAGACTACAAGGATCATGACTGATAGCTAAAGTAGAGGTTTGCTTTCAAGTTGGCGCTATAATGTATTTAACTGGAATTCACAGTAGTGACCGAAGGCTTTAATTCGAGAAGAATAACATATTGGGTTTGTAATATAGAAGTCAGCAGGAACTGGTATTATAAACAAAACAAACGGTGGCACGTTAAAGCAAATTCAAATTTTAGCGCGCTTGCGTTTGCGCAGTACAGGGAGTCAGTGTGGAACACATCTGCAAGTATTGTATATAATATAATATAAAGCCTATACGAGGAGATGTTAAGGTGATTTCCGATTTGGCAACCAGACTATAACAAGGGTCCGTTTTGTTTTGTTTTTATCACTCAAAATAAAATTAAGTCTAAAATTAGAGCAATGACGTATCTACCTACCTACCTATATCAACTACTGGCATCAGGGATGTTAAGTAGCACTGCTTTGGTGAAAATTTTGTTTACGAAGAAGCAATCAGGGCCGGCTCGTGGGGTGAGGCGGCGAGGCGGCCGCCTCAGGCGGCATAATCTTAGGGGCGGCATTTTTGAAATTTAAAAATAAAAAAAATGTTATATTATAATGTAGTATAATAATAAATCTTAGTAATGTCAATTGACTGAAAGCGATTATAAAATATAGCCATCTGCCAGGCCACTAATTTGCGATATACCTATCTAATAGGATAGCATGGTTTTTTTATTAGTTTGTCGTACTTGATACACGACGAATAAGCTAGCGCCGGCGGCGGTGATACACATAGGTACACCAATTATCGCTGCTTCGCTTATTACTGCTTAATCGTTATAGACGGGAAGTGAAGGAATCATGCAAAGTCACAAAGGTAAAAAAAACCTTGAGAAATATTGAACTATATACAGCTAAACAATTTGAGTGATAACTTTCCAAATATAGTAATAATTATAATAATGGCCTTTATTCATATTCCGTTCAAAAAAACACAACTAAAATAATATTATACCTATAAACATGTACCAAGAGAAGAAGAATCGAATTTATGAACCGCAGTGAATGGGCGAAGTTCAGATTAAAATATCTGCTCTTAACTTTACCCACAACACATATATACATTTATTTATGATGGCGAATGAGAATTCCAAGTTATAAAATTTAAAAAGAAAAAAAATTCACTTCTTTAGCGTACAAATATAAAAAAAAATAAAAAATAGAACAATACAAGTAATCAAATTTTAATTAATTAACACATACATTGACTCTCAGATAACCAGTATAGCATCTCTAAGGATACTTTTAACTATTCTAGTCACTGTGGCCAGTGGAGAACGTTCTTTCTCAAAAAAAATAATGAAAAATTATTTTATGTTCAACATTGACATATGACAGATTAAAGGAGCTGGCCATTCTCGCCATTGAACATGAACTATGTTCTAACATAGACTTCGATGATATTGTAACAATTTTGCAAATTTAAATATCGGTATTATTACATTGTTTTGGTATTTTTGTTTGAATTTTGTATGCTTATGAAACGTCATTTTCTGATTTTTACGATTTTATTTAATTTTCTCGTTGTTTGGTGGTACTTATACTCATATTAAAGAACCAATTAACAAACAAAAAACCTTTCCATTAGGGCGGCAAAATTAGCGCTTGCCTCGCCCATTTTTTTTCGACGGACCGGCCCTGAGAAGCAATACTTTATATTCTTTGTGCAGTTTGAATCCTGTTGCCTGTTGCTTAACGATTCGTTTATGTACGTACGATTCAGCAACTGTTGTAGATGACCATCCGCCATACCGTTACAGAGCTGTTACATCTGCTCCAGCATCTACAAGAAGATTAGCCGAAGATGTTAGCAATGGGCAATGTAAGTTTCCGGGTTAGGTATAGCATCAAATAACAATAAGCTGAATAAGCAGCCATTTCTTTGTTACCCGTGCACCAAATCTGCCAATAAACGGTACTTCCAAAATCGCGGATTTGGACGTGATGCAACAATGAGATTAAACCATCTTAATTTCAAAATCAAAGATTCTCATCTCCCCCCCCCCTCTCTCTCTCTCTTGGTGATCGGATTTTCAAATTTCCTGCAATAATTGAAAGAAAACAACATTCTTAATCGATATCTTTTTAATAGCTACATACACGATGACGGAGTGAACTAGTTTGTGTATCATCAATCAGAATCACTCCAATCAAAGATGTGTTGTGGTTTACGTCCCTTCGATCGTAGGTCGTATCCGCAAGATCGGGATCTTATTTTTTGTTGAGTTTCAAAAGTATATAGCTTTTCTTTGGTGATTTTTAATTGTACAGCAAACCATTCGTACACTTCTCCACGGTCTAATGAAACAACTGGAGAAATATCGGATTTGTAGACATCGCGAGGAAGAACAAGATGCGTGTGTTGTTGAAGTAAGTTTTGAACAGACGGATGGGGTACAATACTCAATTTTGGCAACGGGTTTGTTTCATAATTACATGCACAGCGAACGTCATCGATTTGAATACCACAGCGTGTTCGTTTCTGACCACTTGCGATAGTTTCACAACACTCGCACGCTTCTGAATCTGAAATGACGATGACTTCGTAGTCGGCGTTAGTTTTTTGCACCTTTGTCGAATTTCTTCGAGAAGAATCCACACTGGTATTAATGTAGACATCCAAAACTGCTAAAAGTTCCGTATTAGCCATATTAAGCGTTTTGGTTATAGAAATTGTCTCTTATTGCTGATCTGCAAAAAAAGGTGTGGTTAGCCAAATATTTGAATAGAATAAAGTCAAAAGCTTCTTTATGAACTGATATCTATCTACTGCCGGTCCGCCCGGGTTTGAAAATTTATCTAATTGTGTTTTTTGTTAATTGATCGCTGATGATTGATGAAGATTCGCTGGTAAATGAATAAACTGGGATCTGCGCGGGATTGATACCTAAAGGCGGGTCCCGGTTCACAACAATAAATATTTGCGTTGTGCGTTGAATTTGTAATAGCCCTACTATGACCGTCTCACTTTTCTGATTGATAAAAAATAAATCTACATAAATAAACCGATTATATTGAAAAAAATAAAATAAATCCAAATTCCACTGCACTCACAATATTGATTTTCTTTTTTTATATTAAATCTTAATTACTCAATTACTTACATCTATCCTGAATCTGAATAATATTTAAATTTACTTAATATAACACTTAATTAAATACCTATACAGCAATGAATATCCTTCTAACTTCTAACTTATATTTATCCTATCTATATAAAACCATTCGGCAAAAACAATTATAAAATGACAAAATAAAAATTTTATATGAATAAATTTCTAGGTAAATAACTTTTCATAAAAATAACTTACAATTTAGACAGTAGTATTCTTCCCCTTTTTAGATGGTGGGTATTGTAGTGGAGCATGATTTAGATTATTCTCAATATTCGCCTATTAAATCCAATCGCGTAATCCCAATTGAACAACAATTTCTTAGCGCGCTTTTCGTACTTTAGGTATAATTTCTGAACGGAAGTCTTTCAATCGCACGTTAAACTAAACTGCAGTTAATCAATGATTAATATTTTCCGAACAATTCACTATTCCAGAACGACCAACTTGTTCTTGGTTAAAAAATACGATTTTAAATTAATACGCGCAACAAATTTTATTTGGTTTGGGCCTTTTTACTTAAATGGCCCGTTTCCGCGATGACACTCGCCCGTGCGAATATCTACGAAAAAAACTTTATAAGTGGTGGCCGCGTTTTCCGCGGCGGTACCACGCTCCGCGTGAATATCTACGCAAAAAGCTCCAAATTTCTGATCATTTTGGTTTTTATATCGCGAGTAAACCAACGCCCGTAATTAACGCTCCCATCAAGTTTCCGGAAATAAACAAACTCATAATTTTTTAGCCTCGTTGTTTTATTACATATTTTTCTTAGAATCTATTGCGTCTTTTAACCGGTGACCTTTTTTAAATCACGTACTAATCGTTAACTCGCCCAAAATAGGAAGTCCAAAACCAATAACTCATCTTATATTTCACGATATTTGAAACTTAATTACATCGAAAAAAAAATGTTTGTTAATTTTAATGAACATTACAACTTCACAGAAATCTGAATCATCGATACGCATTTCTACCTGAATATAATTTTGAAATCCACAAAACTTGCAAAATTTAACAAGCTTCCGTTACAAATTTGTCACAAATTTGGTCGTGTGCGCAGAAATTCTTGTCGATGTGGACTGTGCGCCGCACGAAAACGTGCACAAATGAACCGATACAACGAAATATGGAAGGATCGTCAGTATTGCAATCACTTTTAACGACAATTTATTTTAATCTTACATAATACATTTTATAGTTATCAAAAATGCATCAAATTCATGTCTTGGTCATTGGAATAATGCTCTTAATCTTGTTCCCAACGATATCAGTGCAAGAATAACGATTTTGACATGTTTTGATCAAAATCCACGTGGTCGCCAAAAATAGATCAAATTCATGTATTGGTCATTGAGATAATGCTCTTGGTCTTTATCCCAACAATCTTGGTGCATAAATAGCCATTTTGACGTGTTTTGATCAAAATCCACCTGGTCGCCCAAAATGCATCAAATTCATGTCTTGGGCATTGAGATAATGCCCCTAGTCTTTTTCCCAACAATCTTGGTGCATAAATAATGATTTTGACGTAATTTGATCAAAATCCATGTGGTTTCAACACAATCGGCAACTTTTAAAAAGAGTTAGAGTGCACACGGACGGACGGACGGACGACAATACAAAACTATAAAGGATCTGAGGATCCTGAATAATGTCGTGACGAACAACGCACGCTATCCACTATGCTGTCGGTTTTTCAGTCAACTTCAAAGAGATTTGCGCCGCACAATAGTTCTAATGTGGATGTGAATGTAATATAGGCGGATTTGAGTTGTGTGTTGAATTTTGAATTTTGGCAAAAGTATTTGCCCCACAAATTTGAATATGATCACGTTGACGTATTTACTACGTAAATATTTATGTTGTGTGTGTTGTATTTGCTGAATCCATGTGTGCACATTCACATGCACAAGTCCACATTAGAACTTTGTGCGGCGCAAGTCCCTTTGAAGTTGACTGGAAAACCGACAGCATACTGGATAGCGTGCGTTGTTCGTCACGAAATTATTTACGTACGTTTTCGTGCGGCGGCGGCGCACAGTCCACATTGACAAAAATTGAACATGGACAAAATATAAGGAAAAAATTTATTGACAATTCGCACTGATGGGATAAATACAAATTTGGGAGCAGCAATTACCCAAGAAGTAAATTAGAGAAAAATTAAATGCAATTCAAGCACAATTTGTTACCACCACCAAAAACAAAATCCCACAGATAGTTAAGTAAAATTTGCTTACTTATAAAAGAATGTCTATGATATCTTCGGTTTCACTGACCCGCAGAGAATAGAATTCACCTTAAACAACTAAAGCACAATATTAAATCGCAAATGATTAACGCCACATTTGTGAGATAAGGAAAGAAGTTTTATAAAATTCCACTCCATACTTCGGATAAGAATTTACGCCCCACTCAAAATTAAGTCATTGTTGAAAAATCGCTCTTACGCGTTTAAGCACATAACTCTATGTACCCATTCGTCTACTTTTTACTGGAGCGGCTTCTTCAACTTCACATACATTTCGAAGGGCTCCGGGATGCTTCACGAAAAAATACATTAATTCTGTTTCCCTATGGTGCGTTCTCCCTGGAACACACGGTATGTATGTAGTAGCCTATAGTTTTGTATATAAAATATCTCCGGCCGGCCGGCCCTCCATCTGTCCATGTCTTCGGCTAGGTATCCATTTTTTAGTGGAAAGTATATACTATGATCTGGTATTATACTGAAATCTACCGTAATCGCTCCTAAACATTAAAATATCTCCGTCCAACTGTCATTCCATACGTTCACTTTTGTTTTAGATCTAATTTGGCCACAGGGCCATACTTAATTGACAAGTCCCCGTATACTCTTGGGGCTTTTACAGAATTATGAATTTAATTAAACTGTTCTGTACTTTTCGTATGCCCTAATGCACATCATTCGCCTTTACATGTTGTTTTTTCAGTTTGTATTGTACTTGTATACCGGCCTCTATATTTGTGAAATAAAACAATAAGTATTATTATCTGACGTTAGTCCCGTCCACATGAAATACGAGTAATTTGACAAAAATGTGTCGACAGTGCTAGTGCTCGAAGTTTAGCGTTAGTGGGGGGCCAACTTGACACTCGACGTTTACTCATCGAAATAATAAACACACAGGTCACACACGGTGTTTTAGTGCTGTTTAAATGCCAGACAGAAAGTATCTCAAATTCTCTTGCTGTTCCTAAAAAAGTCAAGTCTGAAGTTATAATAATAATAATGTTTATTTAGTAAAAAACAATTTCACATTGTAATACATCGTCACAGTTAGCCCCGCCTTTACACTTTTAATTAGATGAAACCACAAACCACATGTGATGATTAGTGTTCCGTTAGTGCTATTTTATGCTCAAAGATATTATATTATGTATTTTTAAAAAACACATATACTGTCGTTAGCGCTACGTTAGTGCCGTTTGGTGCTCGAATAGTGTGTCTTTCGTTTTATATTTCCAAGAAAATATTTTCTAATATTTCGTACAGTTTATTTTGAGTTAAGATACAGTTTTACAATTAAATTTATTATGACGAAATATGATATGCATATGGATTACCATTTGTGATGGAACCGAATTAGCCCGCTAAAATTCGATTTAAATATTCCCGAATCCGAACCTGGCGCGACGAAAAAGGTCAAGATTGCGCTTTGTTTCGTTTTCGTGGAACACGTGTTTTTTTCTTCTCTGCCCTACATTGAAATGGGCCATAATTTACAATAAAAGTGTCAAATATTACGCTATGTGAGCTATGCGAGGAAACTTAATGATCCGTATCAACCCGTCTCGGGGCACGTTCAAATGTCGTCTAGGATTTGTTTAAACAAAAAAAAGGGGGAGAATGCGGCAGAAGTATGTGTGCTTTTGTTGAGACCAGAAGTAAATCTTTACGTTGCAAATAGTGAGTACGGCTTCGACAATTACAAAGGTGATGTACTCGTTTTATTTATCTCTACGTCTATTGCATCCCTCTAATAATGATATGATCGTGTTCGATTATTTGCCAATTTAACTTTATTCTCGTACAGCATTGATTATTGCCATTTATAACACATTCCAGATACAAATTGCAGTTTTAATTATACTGGGCCTACTCGGTAATTACTGACCGATTTACGTGTTTTTGTTTATATTTAGATACTGTATGTTCCCTTAGGGGCGATACCCAATACAAGTATGCAGAACTACATTTTAATTTATAATTGAATTTATTGCAGCACATTTCGCTTTTGTTTACCTGATTATGTTACTGTGTATTTACAGGGTGCCTCATCAGGGGGCGAGTGACGTACGTTAGGCGGTTGATTGTTACATATTGCACTTGACATTGTGAATTAATTACTTGATACCAATGTTTGCCACGACATGTTCCTTTGTATTGTTGTAATGTGATAGTAGGTACATAAAGTTATGCTCCTACTATTTATTTGAACCGGGTGATTATGATTATTAATATTTGGCGGGGTGACTTGTTTCGAATATGTACTGTGCTATATTTGATACCGATAATATATCTCGATTTGACGTAGCAGAGGCTGGCTAAAGTTCAGAACTGACATACGCAGAGATATATATTTTATGTACTGTTTTTTTGTGTCTTCGAGGGGAGCCATCTTGCCAATATTGCTAATCAATTCGTTTAGTCCATCCCTGTCATATAGTGACCGAATATTGGTTTTGTGTCAGTCTTTGTTATGCCAGTGCAAATATGTCGACTGTCAACGCCTACATAAATTGTGTATATTTTGTTTATAATTTGGTATGCGTGCGAGTTTGCCGTTGGTTACTTTGTTATTTATGTTATACTTTGTTTCACTGGTGCTGAACCTGACGTCATAAATGTGATTCTCTCTTCATTACATTTAAATCGATTGAGACAAAAAAATTACGTCATTAACGTAAGTCGTGACAAATAAACCAATTGATCTGTCATAATATCAATCCGTCAAACGATTTTCGTTATAGACAGATTTCCAGTGTTGATTAGGTAGTTTGTGTTAAAAGTGAAGTAAATATCATCAAAGTTAAAAACGCTTAGGCAAGTCGACAGTGCAGAAACGCCGTTAATAGACAAGTATTTTAAAAATTTTACCGCATAATGGTTCGATTCGCTCATATCATGAATTTAGGTCATTCCCGTTACCATTAGGTAAATATGACGAATACACAGAATGAAGATGTTCGCCAGAACACTTAGGTATTGAATTGATTTTATAGGTGAAAATGTTACACTCCGTTCCTTACACAGTAATCTTCAACGACTTGATGGCGTAGAAATATCTGCTACCTCTTTGTCCCGCAGTTTGAAGAAACTGAAATTCACGTGGCGGAGATGCGCCGTTTCCAATAGATTATTTTTAATGGAACAGCTCTATGTAGCTCAAAGAAGACTACAATTTTTGAGAGACTTTAAACACAACGAAATTTCACTCTTTCCATTACGACCTGTGGTTTTAGACGAAACCTGGATATACAGTAAAGGGTCTTTTAGAAGAAGCTGGCAAGATGGTACTCTCAAAACAGTTAGAAAAAGAAGTGGTGAAGGGGTCCGGTATATACCTAATACTCCATGCCTTACAAGTGATTGTCAACTTGGGCGGTCTAATAATGATGAACGATAGTGACACCTTAATAAATAAGTTGAAACGTCAATGTGACAATATGTAAACCAACTACTAATTTACGACCTGCCTTAATTTTGCTATGACGTCAGATAGTGTGACGAAAGGTTCAGCACCCTTGAAACAAAGTATATGTCATGATTTGTCTTTTGATCGGTTATTGTCAGTACTCATGGTAGAGAGCCTGGAGTTCGGTAATTTATAACCCGGCATTTTAAAACTAGTGGGTTGGACTGGCCCTCCCTAGAGATGTATGAATGAAAGAGTTGGGGTCCCGCTAGTCGTATATGGGGCTGCCGGCTAAGCCCGGCTTCACTTGCGCAGGGATTAGCTAAAAGCGTGCGGCGTGTTCTCGTTGTGACCTTATGATTGTGTTAAACAACTATATCCTTCCTATGTGAAAGGTTCTTCTGAGAGGCCAACTCCTAGCGATTTCATACAATGTTGACATGTCATGACCAGAGCAACCAAAGACTACTCGGTGTGGGATTTGGACTGGCCATCCAATATCCAAACCTATTATATGAATTTATTGTAATGTTTTAATAATTGTTTTTGTTAGGTGTGTGTAATCTTGATTCTTTAGGAATTCCAGTGAAGTCTGGGATTCGACATTGAATCGATGTACTTGACAACATGCATTTATGCCATTACAGACAACTAATTTTGTTATAAAGTTCAATATTAATTTGTTGACTGGGTTTTTTCTTGGTCAGTTCTTTTTTTCCCAGCCTATTTTTATATTTGTACTCGGTGAACTACCATTTTCTAAATTTAATCTTGCAATGAGAATTATTTGGATTAAATCTCCGTTTTTAAAGCATGTACTTGTTTTATTTGTATTCCTTACTTGATCCTCACTCCGACAAGCAACACATATCTTGTAGCGACTCTTAAAAACACAACGTAGTAAGTGATCCTATTATTCGGTTATTCAGGTTAGGTAGCTTTGTCTAGACGATCACGTGCCATGGGGTTCAGTTAGTTTGGGAGGGAAAGTTTTGAATTTAAATCTTGAGTTGCGCAGTCTCTCGGGACTGGCCTGGGTACAGCACACATTGTACGTGTAAATTATTGTATAAGTATAATTACACTGCACTATAATGTGCCTCCACGCTGATTTTTTCGATTTTCTTGGAAATATAAAAGTTAGACGCGCAATATTCTAGCACCAAACAGCACTAACAATGCGTGTGTTTATTATTTCGATAAGTAAGTAACAAAGAGTAACCATAATGTCCATAATTACTCTTTGGTAAGTAAAAGTTGATTGTGAAGTTGACCCCGCCCCGTTTTTTTTATTTTTCTCATGTTATGCAGCAGCACTAACGATAAGATTCGAGCACTAATTGCGGACACATTTTTGTCAAATTATTATATGTGGGCGGGGCCATGCCAATTGCCAAGGGTCATAGGGCCTCCAATGAGAAGTCAAATAGTACCGTCAGTCGGATCGCCTGCAAGTGGGAATTGGGATGAGTGGACGACTGTTCAGTACAGCATTTATGCGCCCAAGTAGTAAGAATCTTTTTGCCAACTTGTCTGATTAATATGTTCTTTGTGGACTTCACAGCGGCTTCAAACAATCCAAAATGTGATGAATGAGGAAGATGAAAAAACGTTAATTGGCAGTGATGTTGAGGAAGTTTCTTCCTTGTCGCGAAGAAAATCAAAACTTTATATTTCTGGAAGACCGACGAACCTGGTGCCACATTAGGAGATAAGTAGGTAACGTTATACCCGCGCCGCGGTGAAGCAATCGACGGAGCAGAATACGTAGAATAATTTTATATTCAACGGTAGAATTAAAATATTATAATTAATTCTGTAAACCGTAATTTGGTGTTCATATTGCACAAACTGTTCAATTGATTTATTAAATTTATACACATATAGTACGAAGCGCGAACCAGAGTCACCATCGATAAAGATCGATAACATCGCTCGAGCATACAACCAATAATATAGCTCTATCTCCAAACTGGCCGATAGGCAACACACAATCCAAATTAATAAAATATATGTTACGCACTAATATCGAAAACGCTCAATGAGCGAAAATAAGGCACGCAACGCGTTATGGACGAAGCAAAGTGACCACCGAAAACACCGAAATTAAATATTATTCCGTGTTATGCACTACGAATTGGATGGTTTCAATCAACCGAACACCGGATTTCGCTAGTAATTCAGATATTAGTTTGATTTCAAGTTAGTAATACAAAAGAGTCCCATAGTTACTCTTTGGTAATACCATATTACCATAGACTAAGAAATTACTTTTTCTTTTTTAATAATCTTACTAATCCGGTCGAACAAAAATTTGCGATAACAAGAAGCACTTAACTTCACCCACAAACTCTGACATGTTCTGAACTTCACTTTTTTTAACATACAAAACTTGATGACTAACAACATTAACTTGACGAATAAAATGACAAGTTGTTTCTTTGTCCAGGTCTTTCAAATAAAGCTGCCGATCAAAATTAGGGCCTAAACACACTAGTCCGTTTTCGCCGAGTCGGCCGACGACGTAGCGGTAAACAATTCGGATCAGAAAGTATAAAAATTTCAATGTTGTCACTAATTAGTATCAAAAATTGATTCATGTGACTCAAAGGAACAACTAATTTTGCATAATCAATATTTTTCATATGCCAGTTAGAATAAAACCAAATTTAACGCCAGTTTCAAAATTTCGTTTTGCGCATGCGCAGTGCGAACTTTCTTATTTATGGAGACATTTAAATAAAATTTGATACATAGCCACTTGGAATAAAAGCAAATATAGCGCCATTTTCCAAATTTGATTTTGTGTAGGATGTGCAGTGCCAATTTTCTTATTTATGGAAGAAATTTCGTAGGGGTGTTTAAAAAAAAGGCGCTTTACCTGCACAAGGGTTGTGCACAATTTGTACTTGTTTATGTAGATTTGAGTTTTAAAATCAAGTCATTATATTTAAAATGTCAGTCACCCCCACCACTAAAAATTGAGAAAAGCAAAAATTTCAAACATTTATTAAGTTACGGTTACCAGAATTTCATAAAGATATTTGATTCAATTTTTTAAACACATGTTACATTTTTAACGAATGACTTTCCTTTTTTTTCTGTGAAGTAAGAATTACCTAAATAATCATTTGTTTATCTTTGCTGCTGTCAATATTATATTAAATTGAAAAATTTTTTATTTGCATTTGTAATTTTGTGTTAAGAAACCACAATTTGTAAAAGTATTTACAAATTTACAAATAAACATTATTATTATTATTATTACATGTTACAATCCATCATCCCGGGTTAATAATAATACTACTATTACCTTCCAGTTGACCGTGCTTGTTTCAGCCATACGAGGGGGGTAAGTGAGTCAATGCGTTTTATGGCAAAAGTGTCTTTCCCTTTTTCGAACACTTATTTCTAATTACCTATCATGATATCTGGACAAACCCTAGTAACAGTTCCGTTTCATATTGCATTTTTTAATGCGTCCGCTCTGCGTGTATACCTACTCATCTACCGCATTAGAGTTTGTTCTACTTACCAAGTAAATTAGAAACACTTTTTCACATCACATTGCAGAATGAAGGGCTAATGCTGCGGATGTTATCTGCATACCGATACGCCGGATACGCGAATGGTAGGTATGACAGTATGCATATTGTGATTTATAATTACACAACACTCTACCTTGCACTTTTACGATAAGCATAGGTCTTCCCTACGTTGCATTTGGCGAATTCGCAGTTTTAACTGAATCCATATCGAGTAAATGATGCGTTTATACTACCAATAGTAGAATAGCTTTGAGGTATCAGACTCGTTAAAGTTCAATTACAAAAGGAGGTACTCAGACCATACTTCTAGAGCTAGTTTTGTACAATGAATCGTACGTAAAATGAGATCGACATCTGTAAATTAAAGTGAACGCGGAAGTGGTATATGTGATATCGTATCAGTCATGACTCATGAATAGAGAGCAACGCCAGTGCTCTGTATCACAAAACCACATATGGGCGTAGTTCTACAACTAGAAAGTTGGATACAAGTTTACTGTTTAGGGGGTGCTATAAAGCTCCAAGTGCATGTTTTTGATGCCATCGTGCATTGTCTGTGTTTTAACTTTCATTACAGAATGTGTAATGTAATAAATCGATACAACGAAATATCGAAGGATTCTCAGTATTGCCATCACGTTGTTAACGACCACTTAGTTTAATTTTACAAAATATATATTATAGTTAACAACAATGCATCAAATTCATGTCATTGAGATATTGCTTTTAGTCTCTTCCCCAACGATCGTGGTGCACGAATAACTATTTTGTCTATTTAATCAAAATCCATGTGCTCGCCAAAAATGCATCAAATTCATGTCTTGGTCATTGAGATAATACTCTTGATCTTTTTCCCAACGGTCTCGGTGCAAGAATAACGATTTTGACATGTTTTCATCAAAGTCCACGTGGCCTCAGAAAAAGAATTGAATATCTTTGAATCATACACACACGGTTATCAAATGTGCACGTGATGTACCTACTCTATCAGCATCAAGATAATGCGTTTTAAAGCTTTTACGACTCCAAATTAATATGTAAAGAATAATTTTGGGTATATTTTGCCCTAACACGTTTGACCTAGACCACAGAGAAGAGTTATATTGGATTGTTACACATCTAAGGGCCATAGGAAATAATCTAGTGAGTGTTCGAACTCGATACATGACATAGGGAATGAAATATGTTGATTTCTTTTATTGAGCCCGTAGTTTTTCCTGTTCCCGATTCACTCGAAGTCCTACTTCGACATCGACGTTAAGACTGAAATTAAACACAATTCAATTTGCTTATATGTATAGCAAAACAGTACAAATTGTGCACAACTCTTCTTCAGATAAAGCGCATTTTTGCACATTTATTTGTACCTTTTAATCTCACTTTGGCCGACTGGTTGGCTGGCCGGCTGACTGGCTGGCTGGCAGCAAATGCGGGTCCGTAGAAGAACGCTTGTAGAAAGGCGCCATCCCCAGGCCTCTAGGATAAGTCCCGTAAACGTATATCAAAACCACAGAAGTAGGTCCGGACGGACGGACAAAACGCAAACAATAGCACATTTTGTTAAATTCTGGAATCAGCATATCCTATTTCATGGAAAGAATGCGTTACATCCGCTTTCATTTCTGATCTCCGGTGACTAATCCTTGATAATGGATTTAATGGCGTCTTGGTGTTGCGTGGATACGCTCTAGAAAATTCGCTATAATACTTACCACATTTCGTATTTTGTTTATCTTTACAAGTACCAATGCCCAATGGTACACAGTGTACAAACCACAACCAGGCTTATCCCAACGATTGGGAATTCCCATGTACCTATTTGTCTAGAAGAGTTACTTTGGTGGATATTGGATCATCTATTCATTGAATGTGATTGGCAATAAAAATAAATCTAGAAGCTTGTTTATCTAGTTTCTTTGTCTATTCTAAGAGAGTAGTGTTCTGTTGAAGTCATAGGGGCCCCATTATCCTACAGTAAACTGTCTTGAAGTGTGTTTTACTAAGGGGTGGGAGGTCGAAAACTTAGATTCTTAACCACCAGATCACTGTCTATGACATGCAAAAGAAATTGGAACTACTTCTCATTTTGCAAGTTAAAACCCTCTATTCCCTAGACTACAATTATAGGTATAGCCAAGATCTTAAAAGTGATATTCTTATCGAGATTATCTTATCGCAGGTCTTCCCGCTTTTATTCACACGTGGCGACAATAAACGCTCGTTCTCTACAGCTACACGAATTGTAAAACTAAAAAAAAAACGCATGACATATTGCGTTAGCGTCCTTCCAGCAACCTTTAAACACATACTTAGAGATCCTCGTACATCAATTTCGTTTTTGGTCGAATGTGCCATTCTGGCGCCGTTGCGTTAGTGGACGGAATAAGAAAATAAACGAATTCAGACCTAATTTTTGCTATTGAGTAGATGATTTAGATGTATAGGCAAAATCATTTCAAAAATGTATTTATTCGCATATCAGGAGACAAAACGCTTTAGTAATCGAATTCCTCACAATCCAATTTCTCACAACTTTTTGGATACAATCGTTGGGGAAACTAATGTACTAGTGGTGGTTAAATGTGCTGCTGAGCTATGAAACGTTTTTTACTTTATACCCGTGACTGTACTTTGGATTGTTGTCCATTGATGTGAGCCGATGTACAAACAATATAACTGCACTTTTCATCTCAAAAAATAAATTGCGCATGCGTTGCCATTTTATTTTGTAGATAACATGCCTTTGCAACAGATTGTTTGATTACATTTCTAACATTATAGATGGAGAACAAATTCGGCGCTTTATCAAACACCTTTTTCTAAAACCCTCTAGGGGTTCTAACGGCATTGGGTGAGGAGGGTGCCGCATCGCATACATGGCTCTATCTAGAGGGTATTCGATCGATAATGTTACACTGGCGGTGACTCATTTTTCAGCAAGTTCTTTGGTCGATTTCTTACTTTTGTATTACCTCCGCAAAAGTATGTGAACGAGTGTACAGATGTAATTATTTTACAAATTACAGCAAAAATGTATAGTACTTATAGCACATTATTGAATCATTGAGTGAATCTTATTGTTCATGTACCTACTTACCCATTAATGTATGTTTGAATCAAAGCTGTAGGTATTACAAAAGCTGTGCGGTCGAGATGTATACCTAACTGAGAAAAATAGTTTACCCGAAAAGTATTATATTAGAAATTCTACTTTATAATTTGAGCAGACCATAATTAACTAAATAGGTAATGAGTACTCGCAGCTATTTGTAGAATTTATACAGTTGTTTTGAATTATTATTATTTATATTATTATATTACTAGATTATTATATTATTATATGATTATATTATTATATATAGTTATTTAAATTTATATTTTAGCGCATTTTTCAAAAGAAATAAAATGCGCTATTACGGGCATTTATTATCCGTCCGTGTGAGGGCCGAGACTTCGGCACTGGAAAGTCGCAGAGAGCACATTTTTGATTATTCACCAATTTCTTCGGAGAAACGGCAAAACTTGGCGCACAAGAACGAAATTTTGCGGTCTTCCTCTCATACTCCGTTTTTGGTTAAGTTGGCACAGCAAAATCTTTATTTATCGCCAATTGCATCAGGAAAACTGTAAAACACATTGCTTTGATGTACAGAAGTTAAATGTTGTGCCAGTCAGTTTGGTTAGGTTGGTACGCAACAAAAAGCGCTACCGCATACTATAAGTAGTAGTCATGGGCAAGATACGTATATAAAAAGAAGCTATAACTTGCTGCATATTCTACATGTATCGGGTGGTCAAATAAGAATACTTTCGGGTATAATCTTCGCGATCAGGACAAGGACAGTATGCTGAAAGTATGTTTAATATCCCAGCCCAGGATAACAGGTAGGAGGCGAAATTGGGTTTTCTCTCACATTTTTAGCCTGAGGATACCTATATCGAAAGCAGTATTATCAGTAAATGGAAAGAAAATGCTCCTTTTTTACTTATCTTGTAAAAATAAGGAGCAGGAGAGATTTAAATGTCGCCATTAAAAATGCTATAACGTTTCTCGGTTGTTAGATCAGAAGTAGGTGTGGGGCACTCTGCTCTCCACCATCTTGGGTTGTGAGATGTCACAAGGTCGTGGCCTGGGGACTTCAATAGGAAAGCCTTGTATAATTATGAAAGACCTAATTGAAAACAACAGACTCCCACCTAATTAGTTTAGGAGCAAGAGCAACCGGCAAAGCGACGAACGACTTTCGCGAATTTGCTATCTCCTACGCGAATTCACTTCCGCCTTGCGAATAGTTACTTTCAAACGAAAGACATATTGGATCGGTGCCCATTATACTTCCAGGGTCAGTTTTATGTCTTTTGGCTCAAGTTTAGAACCGGGTTTCCGTAACTCGATCAGCTGGTGATCCATGCAGTACCTACTTCTTTTTGGGCATCGAGCAATCGAGATTGGTTTTTTTCCAAAGAAAATTGGTGCATAAATACGATGTTGACAATGTTGATATCTTTTGGGTAAACATGATTTGGTCGCCAAAAGTACACAAGTATCATTTTTTGGTTACCAACAATCCAGGGACTGAGCTATAGCACGCCGGAACCACGGACGGAAAAGTGAGGACATAAGCGTAAGCGCACTACTTTCGTGGGTTGCGCTAAAGATGTGAGACCGACGACGTCTCGGCGTACAATCACCCTTGCGTTCAGCGTTGGATTGTCTCGAACACACAGGGTCAATATTCATGTCGTAATACTTTGCCTAATTCAGTCTTTTTCATTCATATCTAGGATTAGAGATGAGTGCTTTTGCCCCGGAATATGTGAAAACATTGACTACATGTATTTTTTGAGGTCAAAAAGGTGGTACAACCTTTTCGCATAAACCCCCTTTCTTCACAAACAGTTGTGCAGGTGTTCTTGTGTACACTTTTTGTTAAACGTAAACATCTCGTATATGGTTTTAGGCTACGATTTTGGCCAACTACCTGATGGAAGATATCATATCTGCATCTTCCTCTGAAATAAAATACGTATGGACAAAGAAAACTAGGCACGATAAATACTACATTACGTAAACCTTTGATAAAACTAAAAGTGAACCCCTTATACAGCTACCTGCGTTACTGTTTCAAGCTACGAGTAAAAAATAAGGTTTCAATTCAAGTAAGTGTCATAGTTAAAATAAGAAGTTTCAATGAATGCCCTTGAGAATGACTACGCATACTCAATTCCGTTATTTAAATGGTGCGACCTCGTTCGACACCAGCTGCTACTTTCTTGTGTAGGTATAGTGTGGACTAAAACTAATAAAAGACAAA